CAGCAACTAGAAGGATGTGCAACTATGACACACAACTATCTACTGGGGCTTTGGGGAAAAAAAAGGAGGAGGATTGGCAATAGATGTTAGCTCAGAGCAGGTCTTCCTCAGCAAAAAGAGGAGGATTAGCATGGATGTTAGCTCAGGGCTGATCTTCCTCACAAAAAAATAAATAAATAAATAAACCTAACAATGGTTATATTTTTTTTCACAAGATCACCATTCTCATTCTCTTTGCAGTCTCTACCGTACTTTACCCCCTTCTTATTGCAACTCTCACCTAGTAATCTTCCAGATACTGTACTTTGTTTTCTTCCTTATATAAAATGGGGCTAATAATACCTACTTCACAGGTTGGTTATGAAGATTAAATGAGATCAAGGATGTAAAATATCCAGTAGAGTGCCTAGAACATAGTAAGAACCTAACAATCATTAGATCTTTGTAGTGAAAATTGATGTCTTTGTCACTCTTCATATATTCACTCTTTTCCTAGCTACAAAGAATTTCTCCTTGGAACACCCACTTCCTCACTCTTAGCCCATGTGGCTTGAATGGAGCCAGCATGAGACCCAGATTTAAGCCAATTAGAGCATTCCATTCCCTTTGTACTAAGACTGTTTCACAGATGGCCCAGGACTTTTATTCAAATAAATCATGGGGAAGAAAAACTCTCCTTACCCTCAGTCTTTAATTTTAGAAGATTTGAGGCTGGAGTTACTATATCTTACCACAGCAAAGGGAGAGCCTGGAGGTGCCAGAGGCCACTACATGGAGCCCGAGAACAATGCCACGACAAAGGAACGCAAAGGAAAGCAAAGAAAGAAACCGAATCCTGGTGTCTTTGTTTGGACACTGAATCCAGTTATACTCATCTGCCTTTTTCGTTATGAGAGCCAATATGTTTTTCTCAAGACAATTTGGATTCGGTTTTCTGTCACTTATAATCTAGAGAGTCCTACCTGAAACATTGCTATAATTATTTCTTCTTCCTAGATTCTAAGAATGGACATTTTCTGGGCGATCCTCTCTTTACTCACAACCTTAAAAACCTAATCTATTTTTAGCATTCCAACTATTCTTATAACACTATCTCATCCTGTTTTCTCTACTGAGCCTATTCTCTCTTATCCTATTCTCCACCCCTACCGCCCACTGGATATATCTTTCCTAATCCCAACCTACATGAATAAAAACAAACTCATCTTTCAAAACGGTCTTTCTCCCCAAACTGTTCCACTTCGTCACTTCCTACTGTTTCTGTATTAAGACGGATGAGAGTTTCAGCAAGATTAATGTACTAGGGGGCTTATATTATCAAGAGGACTATTCATTACTATCTGTCCTGTGTCTATATCCTATTTATTAATCTTGAATAATATTCTCTAAGTATTTATACATTACTTACATAAATTCATGTTTATTTGTTCATTTTGAATTATTAGTTAATACCTAATTAATCCAAATATTTACAATTACAAACTTGATTAATATTTTTAAACATTTACCCACAAATCTAATTTCAGACTTAATGAAATGTTATAACCACATTAGAAGACAGACAAAACACATGTTATTGCTATAATAACAAAACTTAACCGTGCACTTAAAGAATTATAAATGTGGATTTTAACTCTAATTCCAATTCTTCTCTTTGAACTTATTCTTATTTCTTCCTGTGGGATACAATTTTACTTTTAAAATGTAAAATGTGAAAGTTCTCCTCTCAGACTGCCTGAAAGTATAGATAACGGTTGTTAGTAGATGATTTTGGACCAGAAAGATGAGACTTGGTTATACTTTCCAAAATGACTGTAACCTAGTCCATTTCAATTGGACCAGCTTCTTTTTATAATTACACTCTGTTAATTTCATGAGACTTATCCAAAGCATTAGCAGGCCTCAATCGAGTATTTCTTGTGACCCTAATCTCTTCTCAAATCACTTCTTCATTTATTCAGGTCCTACTTTCACTCTAGACTTAAGTCTACTCTGTAGCTGTTTGTTATGAATGCCTTTTCTACATTATACAACCTGGTTTAAGCCTGTTTTTGTGTGTGTGTGAGGAAGATCAGCCCTGAGCTAACATCCGATGCCAATCTTCCTCTTTTTGCTGAGGAAGAATGGCTCTGGGCTAACATCCGTGCCCATCTTCCTCTACTTTATATGGGACACCGCCACAGCATGGCTTGACAAGTGGTGCGTCAGTGGGCACCAGGGATCCGAACCTGTGAATCCTGGACTGCGGAAGTAGAACGCGCGCACCTAACCGCTACGCCACCAGGCCGGCCCTCAGTTTAAGCCTGTTTGAAAATATTTGCTCTGAGTGGAACATGGTTTGGTTCAACTAAATCTAAAGCCATCGATCACTTTATTGATCTATTGAAATTATATTTCTTTTTCATCAGTCGTTAAGATCTACCATTATTTACAGTAATCATCAAAGGCAGTAAACTAGGATTTATCTGTGACTTATCCTTCTTCCTATCCCCTCATCACTAATTCAGGGATTTATAAACAAAGAACGGTATCTGACTAACTTTAAGGGTTTAGACTCTTTTTTTTTAAAGAACATTTATTGAGATCATACTGTATACCGGAAATGTCCTAAACCTTTATCAGTTATTTTTTTCCTCTTTTGCTGAGGAAGATCCACCCTGAGCTAACATCTGTTGTGAATCTTGTTTGTTTTTTTTTTTTTTTGCTTGAGGAAGATTAGCCTGAGCTCACATCTTTGCCAATCTTCCTCTGTTTTGTACATGGGTCCTGCCACAGCATGGCTGACAAATGGTGTACGTCTATGCCCGGGGTCTGAACCCACGAACCTGGCCACTGAAGTGCAGTCTGCCAAACTTAACCACTATACCATGGAGCTGGCCCAGGGTTTAGACCCTTAACCATTAAAATCTGCAAAAGCTATAGATTTTTTTCCCCTTAAATGTGTCTGGATTTTTTCCATTCTATTTGTAGGCACTTCTCACCGTCCACATGGAGGACTGTACAGTAATAATCTAAGTCATGCCTGATCTCAGTCTCTTTCCCCTTTATCACAACCCACATAACTACTGTTAATTTTTGTTTTTTACCAAGTCATTCCTTAGCTCAAATTTTTTCTAATAGGTGTTTCCTCCATATCATATCTAACACCCTTGACCTGGCTTTCAAGACCCTTCATTAGTTAACCTTTTTCTAACTTGACATCCCATTATTCATCCTTAGCACATACCCTAAGAAGGTCAATGTCATAAACACAGCAATATCAAATGCATATAGCATGTGTGCTAGATGAACGATCATAACCAATCCTATGAGGTGGGTATTATACGCTGGTTTTATAGTAAATACTGTCAGAGAGTTGATAAATTAAGTTGTTCAAGAACGTAGCTAAAAAATGATAGGATTTGGGATTCTTTTCTCCGTTACATCTTTCTACTACATTGTGCTCTATCTCCCATATACACCACTCAATATGGTCTAGACTTGCTTTTTTCATGGTTGATATCTCTCCAACTCAGGTTCTGCAGTGTTTTACAAACTTCGAAAATCCAACAGATTCCAGAAGCTCTCAAAGAGAATTGCTACATTTTCTTGGTATGCCAAAGAATTTCTCTCATTGAGCTTTATTGTCTGTAGTTTGTCTTATGAAAATAATAATTCTTTTTTCAACCTCAAATGTAAAGGTATATTATAATATCTATTCAAACCACAGTTTCCCAACCTTATCTAATACACCTGCAAGGAGTGTCCTTCACACCCCTTCTTGAGAATCCCTGGACCAGGCCTGACGCTCCTCAGGGCAAAAGTCATAATACTTACTTAGAATCACAACGTAAATTCATTCATAAAGCAGATTTATTGGTGCTTTAGTATGCCAGGCCCTAAGTACACAAAAGTTAAAGCAAAAAAAGTTCTCACTGTCAAGTACGTAAGAGTCGCTGAATAAATACTTACTGAAGGTAGTCAAATCAACCAGTTAACATTGTGGGGCATTAGGACCACGTTTGAGAATCTGATCAAAGTTCCGGGAAAACTAACTCCCCAGAAAAATGCACAAACACACAGAATTTTGTATATAGTTTCCGGGGGGTTATGAACTCCTCTGACGCCCAATCACCTACCACCAGATCCACAGACTCCAGGTTAAAAACCCACTAACAAAACTAACATCTCTGGGAACAGGAATACTTGCTTAATAATCCTGATTATGCCTTGCACAGTGTAATATACACAAAAGCTACTTAAGAAATATTTGCCGATCGATAATTTTCTCATAAAGAGAACCAGATGACACTGGCAAATCGTTTCTTCCATTACGGAGTTTTTCAGTCAAATGATTTTAAAGGCCCGAAACCCCGTTTCACTAGTGACGCTAATGACCTAACCTCAGTAAATCAAAATCGTTATTTTGCTTTTCAAATGTGGACTACACGATCGTTCAGCAATTCAGGTCCTCTCTCCTCCTTGCTGTCCCACCACTCCCTCCACACTCATGGCTTCCTCCTCGGCATCCCAAAAGTTCCGTCCAGAGCCCCACTGCCCCCAGGGAGACGGAAAACAACTGACGCTCTGCGCCGCACACACCGTCTAAGCAGGATGGTGGGATCTAGTGATGGCCACAACTTCCAAACCCTTTCCGCACGACGTCTGGAAGGGAAGAGATTTACCTTAAGGTCCAGGAAAGCGGTGGCACTTGTTATCGCAGAGCTAGGACCGGTTACCAAGCAGCCTCGCAACCTCCCTGTCACCATAGTGACTTCTAAGATCTACGCTCACTGCGTCTTCCCGCGATACTTCACCGCCGCGCGCCACTCGAGCGGGCCCGAGGCCCCGCCCTCAGCGAGCCCGCCCTCTCCTTCAGGGACGTTATTGGACGACTGAGCCCCGCCTCTAGCTGTGGGCGGAACCCCACTCTTTTTTTCGTGTGTTTCAGAACTCGCCAGATTGTTTTTCTTTTTTTAATTTGTTATAAAAGTGGTGTTGCCGTAGGCCATCGGGAAAACACTGTTTCGCTGTTCCTTTTCTCTTAGTAGAAACATCCCCTGCCGCGTGGGTCCCGCCAAGAGTTCGCGGCTGCGCGTGAGCGACCAGAAGATGGCGGTGATAATCGCCGCATTTTTTTCAAATTAGTGGTTCCCAGAAAGCACTGCGCGCATTTGTAACGAATTTCCGTTCGAGTTTGTATTTTAGGCGCCATTTTCGAGTGAAGGACCCGGAGCCGAAACACCGGTAGGAGACCGGGGGCTGCGCAGCCGGTCCCAGCCCCGGTCTGAGTGGACTGTCCGCAGGTAAAGGCCTTCCTTCCTGCCCAGGCTCTCCCACTCTCCCTTCTCGTTCGTCGGCGGGCCCCGGGCAGAGGCCGGCGCCGGGCTGCGGCTGCGGCGGGGGCTCTCCGGCTGTCACCCCTCCCCCGCGCTCCCGCCGCCGTCGGGGGTCCGTCGGCCCCGCGGAGCTCTTCCCGGGAACACGGGCTCTCCCGGGCAGGGGCGTCGCCCCACCCCGACCGCGGGTCCGAGCCCGTCCTGCTGACCCTTCGTAGTCGATGACCCAGCGGCTTCCGCCGCGCCCCGAGGGACCGACGCCGCCGCCCGGGTGACTGAGCCGAGCCGCGCTACCCGCGCCCAGTTGGGAAGCGGGGAGCGGGCGACCGCGGCGGGCGGCCATTGGAGGAGTCTCCCGGCCCGAGGCGGGAATGGCATCTCCGGGCGCGTGACCTCGGTTAGGAGGACACGAGAACATTCTGTGACTCCTGTACCGTGGGCGAATGGGGGGCATTACAGAAAGCAGAAGGACCGAAGGCCCGGGCACATCTGGGTTCCCCCGCTCCCTTAGCACTGGGATCTAAGCGATCCCCCCCGCCGCTGGGCACCTGGGGTCTTGTGCCTGCCTTCCCGAGGCCGGCTGGCCGGAGCGGGCTTGGAGAACGGCCCTCAGGGCCCGGAGGACGGGGTTTTCCCGTCGGGCCGGGCCCGGCTGACCGGCTCCCGCCCTCCCCCAGCCCAGCCACCATGCCCCGCAGAGGCAGCCAGCCCTCTACCGCCCGGCGCCGAGAGGAAGGGCCGCCGCGGTCCCCGGACGGCCCCGGCCGCGCCGCCAGCCCGGCCGCCGAGGCCGCAGGTGAGTGCCGGCCGCCCGCGGGGGAGCGAGCCGCGCGGGGAGCGGGTGGAGGGCTGCGGGGTGGCATTGGAGGTGCGTGTCGGGCCCACAGAGCAGCTCAAGAAAGCGTCTTGGCGATTTTCAGAGATTGGACTTCGCGCACTGTCTCTGTAGCGGTGCTGGAGGGGATGGGGGCGAGCAGTGGCTTCAAGTGTGCGTTTGTGGCCTTGTGTTTCCGCGGCAAGCGGCGCGGGCAGCCAGTGTCCGACAGAAGCAACCTGCCTGTATGCTAATACGATGAAAAGTTGCTTGACACTTACTCACCTCACCTCCGGGGTCTTCAGTTGCGTTTAAACAGAAGATGAGAATTGACTCGGAACCGCATCGCTTTTGTGAGTCCGGGAGTTGGATGACATTATGCAACTCCTGTGACAGTATCGCTGGAGCTCGTGAGTGTCCGAAGTTAGGGTTCCAGGCTAACCCTAAGTTAGGCTCCGTCTCAAAGAGACGGAGAGAGCTGCATTTAACCACCTGTTTAGGCGGGAGCAGGGAATTAGGTTGTTGTGGTTTCCCCAGATTTGCTTGATGATGTAGTGTTTTGATTCCTAAGAGGTGTATTTCAATAGAATTTTGTGACTGGTGGCATTTCTTTAAAGAATTTTTTTTTTTTTTTAAATCCAAGCTGAAAGATTCTTATCCCCGGTGAGTTTAGGAGAGTATTATATTTAAGTGGAAAATAAAGGTTCATAAAGAGTATGTCTCCAGAGATTAGCAGGCATTAGTCCTCCGAACTAATTGCACTAATGCAGATTTTTTTTCCTTTGCCTTTCGTTTCCTCTGCCTGATTTAGAGACTCCAAGTGAGGAAATTGATAATAGAAGTTTAGAAGAGATTCTAAATAGCATCCCTCCTCCCCCACCTCCAGCAATGACCAATGAAGCTGGAGCTCCTCGGCTTATGATAACTCATATTGTAAACCAGAACTTCAAATCCTATGCTGGGGAAAAAATTCTGGGCCCTTTTCATAAGGTATTTGACCATTTGAAATAACTATTATAAGGTAATGTGTCTTTATTATAAGATGTTTCAATTTTGTAACTATTGTAATTATCCTGATCAATACACACAGGGCATGTTTCCTATCCTTTTAACCACTGGATTTAGCTTTTGTTTATCTGGTTATCTTTGGTACCTCTTTATGCTGTAAAGTTTTCCTCGCTAAATAGAATTGGTGAGTTTTTTGTTTGAAGGGTGTGTTTTCTCTATTAGAATGAATTGTGTAAGAACTCTGAGTGAGAATTAGAATATAGTCTTATTTAATGTGTTGAAGCTTGTGATGGAGGAGAACATGATGTGACAACTTAAGTTGTGTTATCTTCTAGCAGTAAAAACTTTGAATAGTTGTAGTTTGCTGCAGGTAAAAAAATCAGGCAGATTAAAATCAGTAGAATTAGTATGACTTTTTTAACTTTATTTTTTTTTTCTGTTCTTTTTATGCAGCGCTTTTCCTGTATTATTGGACCAAATGGCAGTGGCAAATCCAATGTTATTGATTCTATGCTTTTTGTGTTTGGCTATCGAGCACAAAAAATAAGATCTAAAAAACTCTCGGTACTAATACACAATTCTGATGAACACAAGGACATTCAGAGTTGTACTGTAGAAGTTCATTTTCAAAAGATAATTGATAAGGTAGGGGACTTGGACTATTTAGCTATTTGTAACTTCAAATAAGGAACACAAAAGATTTCAATACATTGCACATTTTATTTTTGGCTTAAATTGGCCTTCAAATATTAGTATATGGTTAAAGCAGAACAGATATTGATTTCATTACCCCCATGACCATATTTTCTTTTTGAGGAGTGGTGGTGGCTGCCGTTAAACTTAAAATATTAAAATTTTTAGCCAGGGAAATGAATTACAAGTAGCTCATAGTAGTGCTTACCTTTTTGGAATAAAACATTGAGCAGTTTTAGTATCCTAAGAACTAAATAGGCATTCGTTTACTATAAATTTTGGGTTTGTTTTAAAGTTATACTTTTGTTGCTTTCAAATAAATTACCTCAACTTGAATATGTAACAATTTTACCATCTCTCTTATTTCAATTCACATTAAACTTAATGTTAGTAGTAGTTGTGTGTATCTGTGATATGAAAGCGCTTTGCTTTAGTTTGAACTACCCCTTTAAAAAAGGGGAAAGGGTCGAGCTAATGTGTTTTCTACAAAGGAGACAATTATAGGTTAAATGTCTATTTAGATTATTTACATGGTTCTGTTAGTATTGGGTTTTTTCCTCTTCTGTTTAATAATTAACTTTGGAAATTCATGGTTCAAAAATGACTGACTGGAACCTAAAAATATAGAAAACTACGTAATGAAATGGGGATGTGGCTTGGCTTCTAGGTTTTGTTTTTTAAATTTTTTAATATAAAAGGCTTTAATTAAATCTACACAGTGGCATCTATTTTAATTTTGTTTCTTAGTGCTTCTCTGTTGTCCAATTTGGGTTGGAAAACAGATTGCCAGTAAATCAGATTTGATTCCATTGCTTATTAATGATTTTTATTTGTGTAAATTTTAAAAGCCATAATTTCAAAATGACATAGCTTTTAAGGGAAAGTGAGTTTTAATGTTAAAGTAGATTTGCACTTCATTTTTTAAAAATCTATTTGATTTTTTTAAAAAATTGAGGGAATGTAGTTGTCAATTTTTTGCCATTCTTTTTACCTTCAGTTAATTTTAGGCATATTCTTTACCGGAGGGGGTGGAGGGCATATCACCCCATTACTACCTTCCTTCCTTTTTTCTTGAGTCGTCTCTTGCAGCTTTTTTAAATGGACTAGTAGTTTAATCTGTCAGCATAGTTTAATTTGGGTGAGTTCGTTTTGGATATGGTGGGCTTCTTGTCCCCCTTCATCAACTCTTTTCTCAGTCAAATATGTTTTTAGGCTTGTTTGGAGGTGGGGTGTTTTGTTCTGTTTTTGGTTTTTTTAATTTGTTTGGTTTGGCTTTTTGGTTTCTGTGATCTACGAGGAAAGGGATCAAACAACTTGAGAAAGTATCTATTCTTTGCTCAGAAGGTATTTCTGAGAACTATTGCCAGTTTATGTGCATGTGCAATTGAAGTTTTTAATCCATAGAGTTAGTTTCAACGTGAAGAGAGTGAAATTTGGAGCTGACCTGTGACTTAATACCACCAATTGTTTTCTGATTTTGTTTTTCCTCAAAACAGGAAGGGGATGATTATGAAGTCATTCCTGACAGTAACTTCTATGTATCCAGAACGGCCTACAGAGATAATACTTCTGTCTATCACATAAGTGGGAAGAAGAAGACATTCAAGGATGTTGGAAATCTTCTTCGAAGCCATGGAATTGACTTGGACCACAATAGATTTTTAATCTTACAGGTAAGTTTATTAAAGACTTCAGAGGCTTTCTTATTGTTACTTTTTTTTCAATATAATTTAGGGGGAGTTTCCCTGTTGGATGAATCCTGTATTTTTGAGGCCTTAAAGTACTGTAGCAGCACATCATGGTTTACATACTACAGTCAAGATGCGAATCATTATTTGCTGCTCTAGAAATTTAAGGAAATTCATTCAAAACTATAATTTCGTCATCAGATGATCATTTTATGTTTGGATGGACTGACATACTTGTTCCGCTCTAGCAGCACGTAAATATTGGCGTAGTGAAATAAGTATTAGACACCAATATTATTGTGCTGCTTTAGTGTGACAGGGATATAGCAACTATTTATCATTTGTTTGTATTTCCCTTTAAGATAATATTTTAAATGAGATTCATTATCTTTTATTAGTCCTTTTCCTTTACTTTTGTTCTTATTCTTATCTCTAGTATTATATAGCAAAATATAGTACTAATATTATATAGTGAAAAAAATGAAAAATTTCTGTATATTTACCGTTTGACAAGTTTACCTGAGCACCTAACTAATTTAATCTTGTTTTAACACTTAGAATTGTTAACTTCTAAAAGCTTACTGAAGCTGGTTTTGTTTAGAATGGCCTACTTGAATCACTATTGGAAGATGAGAAAATAACTCTGATATTTCATTTTTAAGTATCACAAATCTTAAAGTCTTTTTAAAGGGGTATAAAATTAAGTACCTGGTGTTAAGTTGATTTTTATTAGAAACCCTGTATTCTTTATTTGAGTAAAGATGTATTCTACCAGCATTGCTTGGTAAGAAAAATCCTTTATCTTTTCTTCTCTATATCTTACCTTTCAAAAAGGTTTTTAGTATCAAACATGGCTTTGTCAGACGTATTAAAATTCCTTTTTCATTTGAGGCTATCTTTTTTTCCTGTTTCCTGTCTAGAATCACCAAGAACATAATAATAAAAGCAAAACTGTATTAGGATGTAGAAATAGCTGCTAATATTTTTTAGTATCTTACGCTGATTTTAAACTGTTGGAAATTTTGATTGGATAACGAAAGTTTCCTTAGATTACTGAGTGTTCCCAGTAGCAAACTTATAAAATGTTAGCCCCTATTTCCATTTTAGTCTTTATTTTTTAAACTAGTCTTTAAAAAGAAAGTATTACTTTTAGACATACATAGTGTATGTACAAGGTAAATCAATATCATTCTAGAATGATTTATATTAATATCTTTTGTTACCAGACACAGTACATTTATAATACTTCTATAACCCAAACTTATTTAAAAATGAATGTTGGGAAATCAGCTGCAGATGTATTTCTAAACAAGATTTGCATTTACGTAAATGTAGAATTAAAGCTTTGTGTATTTTTTATTTTAATCAAATTTAACTTTTATGGACTTTAATATTCTGGGGTTTAGTTAGTTATAGATAAAGTTATGTCCTTTCATAATACTAAATTTGATAATGATATTATTTTGCAGAAACCTAAACTTGTGTTTATCTTTTGTTTATTATTTGCTATTTATTTACTATCATTCTGGGATAACCAAAGTTTTACACCTGTGCAGTCTCATCAAAATAAAGTGAACTGCATTTTAACCCTTGTAAGGGTTATTTTTTTCCTTGGTGTAGTCTCTCTGTGCATAATAGTAAAGGAAGCTAAATAAAGTGATAACTTCCCAAAGAAGTAAAAAAGAATAATTTTTTAATTATCAATATATTAAATACATGCTTCTGAAGTACCTAGGATGCTTAAGCCGTTTGTCTTCCTAATAATCTCAACCTTTTTATGTCATCTTAACAATTAAATTGTTTAAAACATTTTTAATACCCAGGTAAACTTTCCAAGTTAACAGATTCCATTCCATTTGATTAGATTTACAGATAAGAACCTTAGGAAGAAGAAACAGGGATTGGACTAGGTAGAACTAATGATGCCCTATTTAAAAGTTTGAGGGAAAGTGGCAGTGGTTTCTATGGATTTTTATTTAGTTCCCTATCAAAATCTCAGACTTCTGCACTAGAGATTTAAAGCGTTTGAAGGTAAGTAAGAATATGGTTTTTATTACCTTCTCGCCCATCGAATAACACTTATCTTAAAAACTGTGGTTTGGATGGCTGGGAACTTGGAGACATCATAATATCACCATCCAAGACGTGATTACTTGGAATAAAATGTATAGACTGGCCAGTGGTAGTGATTAACAGCTTGAGTAATCTAATTATTAAGTAAAAATTTATTTTTAAGATTAAAAAGCAGTAAATTTTTGAAGTCCATAAGAGTGGATTTTTTATAGTGTTTATATTGGCTTAGCAGGTTCTTCAGGTAGGCATCTAGTATTTTATTCCATTTAAAATTTCATTGGTTGACCATTCAAATGTACCTAATGAGGCACTATGCTAAGATGCTATAAATGATACAAAGATAGTTCAACCCTGTTTCTTGTCCTTAGAGGCACTTATATAAGTCTGCAAAAAGTGTTAGATTATAACTGACAGTTGTACTTTTTTGTACATTTCCCCATTTATGTATACCTTATTTGGGAGTCTTTGTCCCATTGCAATAACTATTGGTGCACATAAGTAGGGCTTTATTAGCTCTGTATAGCATTTCATGGTAACTATTGACTTAAATTAAGTTTAATTGGTTTTGGTGTGTTTGCTCCATTCCAGGTTAGAAGAATGATAACCTTAATACTTTTATTATAGTTCAAAGTTGCGTTACTGATTGCTGTAAACTCCTAAAAAGCTGCGGCTATTAATGCAATTTTAGTTTTGTCAAAGTTTTCAACTTCATATGCTTTTTGTCTTCATATTATGAAATCTAAATTAAAATTTAAAACAAGAACTAAGATTTTTTTCTTATTTAGTTATTTGGAGATTGGATTAGCCTAGGTCTGAGTTGTTACCTATTCATCTCTTCTTTTTCTTTTCAGTATACTTCTCCTAAGCTTCCCATGGCATACAAATTATTTGAGTTCTAGTCTTTAAGCATGTAGAAATAAGTCTGTGCTATATCAAAAGAAATTTTTAGCTTTATCAGTAATATCTGTTATCCAAAAGTATCTTGTTCAACAGCCTCAACTATGAAAGAAAATAGGAAGCTACCCCTAAGCAACCAGAATAGGTATCAAGCAGTCCAGTCACTAAAGCATCATCCTTTCTGTTTATGTCCTTATTTTAGACAGATACTAACCTTGATTGGTGATTTGGTTTCTTGGCCTTTTGTAGCTCACAAAGAACAAATTAGAATAAAATATATTAGAAGAAGATAACAATAATTTACAGGACACTGAAAAATGGAAAAAATAAAAAAAATTATCAAGGTAAAATAAAAATTCACAGCCCAGTAATTCAGGGCCATTTAATTTTGGTGCAAACACCCATATTTATCTTAAGAATTTTTCAGGCCTTATTAGGATAAAAAGTTGTATTATAGCTATGCACTTGAGTTTCCTGCAGTTCATGCTTGCTAAAATTTAGATTCCATTTGAACAAGGGTAAAGAACATCATACCTATTCATTCCTCTTAGATTTTTAAGCTGTATTCCTATAAATTAGATTATCAAAGAATGGTATAACTGGATCACAATGTCCTGGTTTGCTACCCACTTCAGTAAGTTAAGATTTAAGCCCTTGGTATTATAAATATCCTCTTGAGGTATATTTTTTATTTTTATGTTACTCTTAAAAACTGTAGTTGATATTTTCCACAGTTTCTTAATGTCTCTGATATGGTATGACCAAATTTAAAACATAGCAAGTGTGTAGTAAATAACTGAAAAAAATGCTATACTTGTGTAGTATACTTAAACTAGAGATAACAGTGTGGAGGCCTATAAAACTTTGCCAGCTTCAGATGCTAGCATTATAGCAACTTGAAACATTTTTTTGTGTCATCATGCTACCACTGTCTGTGATTTGGAGCCTTGATATGGAAGGGTGACTTTAAATTCAGATTGATGCTTTAAAATTATTTTGAGGGCCGGCCCCGTGGCGTAGCAGTTAAGTGCGCGTGCTCCGCTGCTGGTGGCCCGGGTTCGGATCCCAGGCACGCACCGGTGCACTGCTTGTCAGGCCATGCTGTGGCGGTGTCCCACATAAAGTGGAGGAAGGTGGGCACAGATGTTAGCTCAGGGCCAGTCTTCCTCAGCAAACAGAGGAGGATTGGCATGGATGTTAGCTCAGGGCTGATCTTTCTCACCAAAAAAAAAAAATTATTTCTGAAATGTATTGAGATTATTGCCCTAAATTAAAACTATATGATAAATTTCACATGGGATAGTTAAGTTTTCTGAAAAATAAGAAGTGGTCCTCTAGGCACAGACTGTCAATCCACAGATTCTATATGAAATGGCACAAAATGGAAAAACAAGGAAGAAAGCAAGTAGTAGCAGGTGGTAAGGCAGGCAAGGGACATCAAAGAACAGTCACCAGAGGGGAAGGGGGGAGGGAGGAGGGCAAAAGGGATAATTCGGCTCATGTGTGTGATGATGGGTTGTAATTGGTATTTGGGTGGTGAACATGATGTAATCTATGCAGAAATAGAAGTATAATGATGTACACCTGAAATTTATACAATGTTATAAACCAATGTTACTGCAATAAACAAAACAAAAAATAAAAATAAAATAAATTAAATAAAAAGGAACAGAGCTCCAAGAAAGGTCCCAGGTTATCATTGGAACATCACAGCAATCCTAATAGTCGAGTAGAGGCCTAAGTGTTCTAATAGCCAGTTGAGTCAGTAGTGCTAGTCTGATAATAACTGGTTAAAAAAAAAAAAAGCCGGGGCCGCCTGGTGGCATAGCGGTTAAGTTCGAGCACTCCACTTCGGCGGCCCGGCCCGGGGTTCGCAGGTTCGGATCCTGGGCGCGGACTGACGCACCACTTGTCAAGCCATGCTGTGGTGGCATCCCATATAAAACAGAGGAATCTTCCTCAGCAAAAAAGAGGAGGATTGGCGTCAGATGTTAGCTCAGGGCTAGTGTTCCTCAAAAAAAAAAAAGCCATCTAAGATAACAGTCTAAAACTGAATGTTATATGAGACTTAAGATGGCATTTATTTCGATTCATAAATGTCCTTGTCTTTCACTTGAACTTTTTTTTTTCAACTGGGCAACCTTGTTAGAGTGAAAAGAAATCATAGCTGTATATCCTTCATTTTAATTGGGGAGGGAGGAAGAAGTAACCAAAAACAAGCAACCACTATGCTTTACCCAAAGCTAGGCAGTCTCCTAACAGTAGTATTCCACCTCTTCAGTAAGTAATTTGGCCAGGAAAAGTGTGGTTCCTTTACAAATATTTTTGTCAGTGTAAACTGTTACACTGAATCCCAACTTTTGGTTATCTGAAAAATGTATACTTAAATAATACCTCATGACCATTTGATTCAGATATGTAAGTTCTCTTGGCATAGTTTTCGTTCATCTTAACATAGGTGTTCAGATATTCAAATTGAATTGGGTAGTATATTAGAATATCCGGTGTCAGGCACTATACTATTTGTTTGGATTGTAAACGCTAAGCCAGAAGATGTAAATGACAACCTCTAGATTAGTGGTTTTCACTTGGGGGTAGTTTTGCAACCCCACCCCTAGGACATTTAGCATTGTATGGAGACAGTTTGAGTTGTTACAGCTGGGGGAAGGGGACATGTAGTGGGTAGAGGTCAGAGATGCTATTAATCCTCTGATGCCCTGCAGAGCTCCACAACAAAGAGTATCCAGCCCAAAATGTGAGTAGTGTTCCTGTTGATAAACCCTGCCTAGATAAAAACTTTGAATAAGACTCTTGGCTTCTTCAATAGCTAGAGTTTGTCCAGTTGTAATCCAAAGCTTTGGGCATTGTTTCAGACTTAAATCCTGTCTAAAACTTAAACTGTTGCTGCACACATTTAGAAAGAACGGATAATTGAAAGCAAAATAAAATACTCTATGTAAATAAATATCTACATATTTTCATTTAAACACTAATTTATTTAAAACACTAATTCATCCATACTGAAGGTTACAGAAAAAATCTAAAAAATAACAGGCTCTTGAGATAACATTTCACTTTGTCTTTGATAATCGTGTTGTGCTGTTGTGTTGTCAGTACAGAAGAGTGATGATAATGTATAAAACTATTAAAAATTATGCCTTTGGATAAGTAGATTCAAGCTGTTTTATCTGTCTAAATTTTTTTGCTTTTTATTATAATATGTTGAGGCTATTTGGTAAGTATGATTTTGTCATTAGCAAATTTTACACCACATTTTTAAGGTTCATTCATAAATAAATATTTTAAATATTTAAATTGAGGAAGAGTAATATTCTCTTTAACGTGCAGTTTTTTTCTTGATTTCTTTTTTATCTTTGCTATTTTGCTAAAATAGAAGGGTATATTTTTTTCTACTTACTTATTCCTTTTTTTCTCTTATAATAGTATAGTGTGCAAGCAAGCTATTTCTGTGAAGTAAAGTAGCAGCTTTTTGCCTGAGCATGTTCAGACAAAATTTTCTCCATCAAACTAAGTGGCTGCCTGGCAGTCAGCCTTGAAGGGTACTGATTGTGGATTTTTTCTTCTTTTCTATTTGTAAATAAACTTCATAATGTTAATCTAAGATTTTAATTGCAGTTCAAAGTTGTTATATTAATGATTGCAAACAAAAGTTTTCCAGTGTCATATGTACCAGGACCTTTGTTTTCAGTCAGTTGGATTTCTTCCATTATTACCATGAGAAATAGGCAATTTCCTTTTCCATTTAATGATCTTGTTTTTAGAAAGTTGGAACATTAAATTTAAGACATCCTTATGAAGTGCAGCTCTTGTTGAGGAATTCATGACACCAGGTTTATAGAGCAAGTTTAATAATACCACCTTGGGACAGGATTCTTACTCAGTTTAACCATGAAGAGCCTTTTTGAAAATTCTTTTCAAAAAGAAGCTCTAATCATGTTATTAACAGTTGATAATGTTGCCACAATAATTGAGTTGCAGATTATATGAATACCTTGCTGAATTTTGCTTAATAGAAAAGTTAATAGTTTTATTTGTATTGAATATTCATTTATTGAATTATTGTGTTGAAACATTCTAGATGGAGAATCTTCCTTTGGCTCTGTGTATATATGTGGGTGTATATATAAGAGTTTATGTAAGGGAGTATAAATATACATTTCTTACTCCCTTAAGTAAAATTGAAACTCTTAAGAAGAATATCAATGGAGAGAACATTTTTATTTGTATCTTATTAAATGTCTTTTAAGTTTCTGATTTACATCATTTCGTTATTCATTGCTATTGGATTTGTTAATTGACTGTTCCTAATTCTCACTTAAGATTGATGTAGCTAAGCATACACAATGAGTGTGAAATATGACTTTTTTTAAAGGGTGAAGTGGAACAAATTGCTATGATGAAACCAAAAGGCCAGACTGAACACGATGAGGGTATGCTTGAATATTTAGAAGATATAATTGGTTGTGGACGGCTAAATGAACCCATTAAAGTCCTATGTCGGAGAGTTGAAATATTAAATGAACACAGAGGAGAGAAGGTGAATCTTCTGTAGACTTTTGTTGTAAATCAGAATATTTTGTTTATCGATTAACAAATTTTACTGAGTCAAATATTTAAGTTATAATAGATCATAACTGAAGAAATGTTTACTGTTTTAGATTGAATTTTGTTTTATTGACATTTAAGATGAACATTGTTTTATTAATACTGTTTATATGTTTTTATCTATTGACATGTTTTAAATTCACATTGTACATATGAAGTGTATTTGAACAATCTATACACTTAATTTTTGTAGTTAAACAGAGTTAAGATGGTGGAAAAGGAAAAGGACGCCTTAGAAGGAGAGAAAAACATAGCCATTGAATTTCTTACCTTGGAAAATGAAATATTTAGAAAAAAGAATCACGTTTGTCAATATTACATGTAAGTACCTTAATTTATCAATTTTTATATTAGTTTCTGCCATTGTCAAAGCCGTTCTCTTTTCCTGTGTTAGAGAAATGTGAAGACTGAAGTGAAAAAAATTCTAAAAATTGTTTTATGTGTTGAATTCATTAAATTAGGATTGTTTACCATGGTATTGAAGTTGACTTTTTAAGTATCCTACTTTAAGTTGGGAGGTGGGTTCACACGTATTTGTTACTATACTTAATCGTTTTACATATGCATTCTTTTTAATTTATGTAATAGCAAATCTAGTTTTGTTTGTATGGAACCTATTTTGTTCCAAATTCTAGTCTTGACCCTGTATTGGGGTTTTTTGCCTTCTCAATAGCCCTAGGTAATTGTAACCTGACTGTAGTTAAGAATACTTGAGAAATGGCTGATTTTACTAAATACTTATACGGTTTTAGAAGTGGCATTTTAGAATCTCCAGTTCTTTTCCTTTCCTCCCTCTAGTTATGATCTGCAGAAACGAATTGCTGAAATGGAAACTCAAAAGGAAGAAATTCATGAAGATACTAAAGAAATTAATGAAAAGAGCAATATACTCTCAAATGAAATGAAAGCTAAGAATAAAGCTGTAAAAGATGTAGAGAAGTAATAATCTTTTGGAAAGTAGTAGTAAAAGTATTTAGATTCAGTTAATTTTATTACATGTATGTGTGTCTGTATATAAACTTACTGCCAGCACACGGGTGTAATAAGTTTGCCAGCGTATAAAATGGTCTCCTTTCACAAACAAAAAACTTAATTGCCCCGCATCCAGCTCATCATTATTACAGATTGAGTGCACAACACTGAAGTCCTAAATAATGGAGGATGCTACCCCCTAGTGGCAGAACACAGTAACACAAAACATCACAGCAAAAATAGGAATTTAACTTGACGGGTTACTTGTCTTAAGAATAAACAATCCACAAATCTAATTGGGGTTATTCTAAATAGATGTTTTAAACTTCCGTTGTGACTTTTCTCTGTGCCAATATTCACTGACACCAATATCTTACCTATGCGGTTTTCTTTTTCTTTAAAATGTTTTACTTATTTTTATGGTAAAATTTTTCACTTATTTTTATGGTAAAATTTTTCTGTATGTAGATATTGTAGTCACTGGAAAATGTAGTATTTCTCATCCAGCTTAGAAGGGCAAAATAACTCGCATAATCGCACATTTTAACAGCTCCCTCAAATATGGAGTGAGTGGAGGATCAGCTTAAAATAGGTAGTTTTAAGATCCTACCTTATATGAGCTTGGACACATTTACAGAGGAAGTGTCTCAGGCAGGGTATATAACATGGCTTTAAAATATCTGAATATCCAAAATAGTGACTGATCATTTTCTTGCTTTGTTAGGAAATTGAATAAAATTACAAAATTTATTGAGGAGAACAAAGAAAAATTTACACAGCTAGATTTGGAAGATGTTCAAGTTAGAGAAAAATTAAAACATGCTTCAAGTAAAGCCAAAAAACTGGAGAAACAACTTCAAAAAGATAAAGAAAAGGTAGGTCTGAGGGAAAAAATTCTTAAAATTTCATGTCTGAATATCAGATCCATTTTTCATTATTTTTTGTGGATTTCCTTGCCCCTTATTACCTAAGATGATGCGTTAGGATTCTGAATGTTAAGTGCTTTACATTTTATCTCTGAACCTGATTTTTTTCCCCAGAGAGTAATCTTGCATCCGTTGACTTTGAGTTTTAGAGTTTATGTTACTAGGATACACGTTGTTGGGAAAACATTTACTAATCATCAGTTCTGTTTTGGTGATAAACAAAATAATTTTTTCCTATAATCTTTTAAAACCTAGTAGTGGTTTGAAAAGATATTTCTGGTTATGTATCATCAACTTTTAAAAATATTACCTGCCTCCTACAAAAATCAAGCTAAGAGTATCAGGGCAGGAGTTCTCCCTTAAAAAGGAGGGAAAGGGAAGCTCATAATTTAAAGCAAGAGATTAATAGCTATTCTGAGGTTAAAAAAAGATAGTTTGGACTAAAATGTCTAATTTGCTAGGAGTCAGACTCTAATAATTAATTTGGGATCTTTCAAACTGTATTCATAGCTCTATCAGATATCAATAGAGATGACACCTAAATCCCCTCTGCCCAAAAAAGCTTTGTACCGTGTAATTACATGGTAATTATAATATAGTCTCTGCTTTACAAGCATTTTCCAAATCATTTGTTTACAAAATACTTTCTTCTCAGTATGGTAATAAATCTTATGTGAATCAATGTTTAAGGAACACTATTTCTGAAAGTGTTGAACTTCTCTGGTAGTGGATAATTAGAATAAACAAAACAACACGGATTTGAGAGTAACTCCTAAATTGGACAGGCTAAGCCAAATATAACTGTATATAGAGGTATTAGCCTTTAGGCATCAAATGTGGCTAAGTCATTGTTATCAGAAGGTATAATGGAATAAAATGTTAGCCTACATGGTGACTCTGGAAGGGTGAAGCTGTGCAAGATCTTAGGAGTTGAGGGAGGCTGGAGGGTATAAAGGTAATTTGTACTAAGTTGTAATATACTATGAAGAGTAGTTTAGGAAATTGTGTATAGTCCGAGTATATTAATAGGTGAAGAAAGATGATTACAGCCTGAAATTGGAACAGAAGGAAGAAAGACCGAATGCCCAGCCAGGGAGAATTTTCTTTTCATAAGGAATAAGGAAGTCATAGAATTAGACTGAGAGAATGTAGTAATTGCAGTGAATGGTTAAGAAAGTACTTGCTAAAGCCAGCTAGTTCAAATCTGATTACAAAGAAAGCTGCAAAGACCTAGAAGACCCTGAGAAATGCTATTAAATAAGTCACATATTGATGGTATTGGGTAGCCTAAAGGTACCTACTCCTAACTTTAATTTGTTTTATAATTTTAGGTTCAAGAATTTAAAAGTATACCTGCCAAGAGTGAAAATATCATAACTGAGACAACAACTAGAAGCAATACCCTTGAAAAGGAAAAAGAGAAAGAAGAAGAAAAACTAAAGGAAGTTATGGATAGCCTTAAACAGGAAACACAAGGGCTTCAGAAAGAAAAGGAAGTAAGATTCTTTATCAGTTGTTTATTTTGGTGTCTTTTTTTTTTTTTTTTAACTTGAAGATTGTTTCTGTAGTAACAGTAAAAACTGAACTGTTAGAAGAAAAAGTTTGGACATTCCTAACGTTCCTAAAAATAGCCTAGACTCCCCTTTTTTGTTTTCTACTTTCCTGTTTTTTAAAAAAAGTTAACTGAATGAGAATTTATAATGGCAGTGAAAATGGGACATGTCAGATACTTTGTTACATATGCCATTCTTTGTTAAGCATGTTGATTTCATCATCAAACTTTTTCATCTCTTAAATTATTTTCTTGGTAACTTAGTTGGTTACCACCTATTAAAAACCTGGGACTACACTAACCACAGGTTGACATCTCCCATCTTTGTTTCTGTAGCTCTTGTGTAATAGTTTAAAACCATGGCTCTAATGTCAGTTTTTGGTTCAAATCCTAGATCAGTCACTTATTATCTCTGATCTTGTACAGGTTGTTATGTCTCCCACTCATCTTCCTCAAGATGGGGAAGAAAATACTACCCATCTTGTGAATCTTTTTGAAAATAAAAATTTGTATATATTTATACAAAATGCCCAGAAAGTAAAAAATTAGTGTCAGCTATTACATTATTTTATCACTTCATTAATAAAACAAGAGAATGTAAGGTTGTCACATTGCTATGTCTTACCTACCCAACAGGAGTAGAAGCATGAAGTTTACCTATCTTTGTTTATATTCACCACAGCCTTTTTGACAACACTGAGCATGTTAAATAGATATTTTAATGGGTAACAGTGATTGAATTGACGCACATAAGTCAGTTATGTTACGTAAGACTTAAAAGTGCATAAGTTACAGACTTATGTACAGCCTTTGTATGTTAATTATACCTCAAGAAAGTGGGAGGAGGGTTTGTTTTCTTAGTTACAGACTTAATAGATTCTGTTTTGGAATATGAACATGTTCTTAATGTCACACTACAAAACTTTGTAAATAGGATGCCCATGTGATAAAGTGACAAGATAGTACATTAGCTTTCATGATGAAATACTTTATGGATGGAGATTTTCACATTTGCTCATCTAATGTACATTGAGTACTCCTGTGTGCCTTGGCACCCTGTGTTAATGACAAAGCCAGGACTCAATCCAGGTGTCTTCATTCCTCAATATAATGTAGTAGCTAAAAACAGAGGTTCTGCCGCTTATGAGTGACTGCATGACTTTTGAGCGAGTTATTTAAACTCTGATCTCAGTTTTCTCAAAATGGGCATAATGATGGTATTTACCTCATGGGATTATATTAATGGATTGATACATACAAAACATTCAGAATAGTGCCTAGAACATAGTGAGCCATGTGTGTGTGTTAGTGTTCGTGATTTTCACTATCAAACATTTAAATTGATTAATGTTTAGTCATTAATGTTCCTGGGCCTATTGCCTTGTGTGTAAAATGAAAGAGTTAGGCTTTTGTAAGAGCCTTTCTTATGTCTTTTATTCTAATAAATAAATCCTTTCTTCACAGTCGGTTATACTAACCCAAAGTTTCTCCTCGTACCTCTAAAACATTTTCAACATAAATATACTTGAGGAAACTTTCTGCTGAATAGTACTTTACCTTACCTGAAATGGTAAGGTATAATGTGGAAAAACCATGGAATCTAGAGTTTAGACTAGATTTTTGTTCTCTTTCAACTATTCCTTTATTGTTATTTTAGTCTCTAAAACGAACATAGCTTATTAAGCTCTTGTGAAATCAGTTAGGAAGAGACTTTATGTACAGTGAACATTGGCAATGAGGCAAAAACTTAGTCCATTCCACTTGTAAGGATAATTTATTTCTATATATTATGCTTGTAGAACCTCTTAAGTTGAATTCAAAATGTATGGTTTCCATTTCAGTTTAGGTTTGAAAACAGAAATATTTCAGATTTAATGGAGTCGGTCATCTTTTAACAGAGTCGAGAAAAAGAACTTATGGATTTCAGCAAATCAGTAAATGAAGCACGTTCAAAGATGGATGTAGCCCAATCAGAACTCGATATCTATCTCAGTCGTCATAATACTGCAGTGTCTCAATTAAGTAAGGCCAAGGAAGCTCTACTTGCAGCTTCTGAGACTCTCAAAGAAAGGAAAGCTGTAATCGGAGATATAGAGGCAACACTCCCTCACACTGAACATGAATTGAAGGAGGTATTTCTTTGCTACTGTGGTTCATCTGAACATTGTTTATCTACCATAGTTTTGTATATGTATATATATATATATATATATTTTTTTTTTTAATCTCAACATCTGAAGTGACTGGCATAAAGGGTTTTTTTTTTCCTCATTTAGTGTAATCTTCCCCAAAAGAATAGGGTTGGTATTTCAGTATTCCATCTAATATGAACTGAGACTATTAAGAAACTAACAATATTCTCCCCAAAAGCATTGGACAGCAAATAACACTGCCACCACCACCATTATTTCCTATGGAAATAATTTTTAACAAAAGAAAGTTTATATTTCCCTAAAT